TCTAGGCAGGGGCTCTACCACTGAGCCACACACACCCCAGCCCCTCACAGTAGTGATGTTGGGGGGTTCTAGGCAAATGTTATGTCATAAGCCATTTTCCTAGCCCTCTTCACTTTTGAGACAAGACTCCCCTACGTTGCCCAGGTTGGCCTTGAACTATGTCTGTAGCTTTGCTGTTTCAGCCCTGTACATTCAGGGGCCTGTTGGCAACCAGTATGTTCTTTCATACTGGAGGCTGCCACGGGGACGAGTCCTGCCCAGGTGCAACCTAGGTGGGCATCTCTGGATTGGGTAGGGAGATCGGAGGTCATGTTTGTATGCTGCTGGTAGACTCCTAGGTCTCCTTATTCACAGCGCTCTTGCCTTTGCAGAGGAAGCCATTCCTGCAGTTTGCAAGACCAGGACGGTCATTTACGAGATACCTCGGAGCCAGGTGGACCCCACATCGGCCAACTTTCTGATCTGGCCCCCGTGCGTGGAGGTAAAACGCTGCACCGGCTGTTGCAACACCAGCAGTGTCAAGTGCCAGCCCTCGAGGGTCCACCACCGCAGCGTCAAGGTGAGCCCTGCCCTCTCTGGGCATCGGCATGACAAGATGCTCTTGGGCTGGTGGGATGGTTTGAGGGGAGGACGGGGCATATGACTTACGGTTGTTAGCACACAGCTCCCGTACAAAGCCTGGGGGTGGGGGTGGGTGGGGATGAGGTGGGGGGTGGGGTGGGGGAGGCTGGCTTCAGCAACCTTCAGGAGTGACTGGGACATTCAGTGGTCACAGTGTGCTTCTGTCATGGAGGAGTTGTGAACGAATGTCTCTTTATCCCTAGATAGGGTAGCATCTGGGTTGGGCACTGATGGCCGACCAAAGACGGTAGTCTACCGTGTGTGCCGGGCCAAGGATGTTGTTTTGGTTCCTTACAGGAGTGTGGGGGACTCAAAGGCAGCTGTAGCACAGGGAAGCCTGCCCTAGCACTGGTGATGACGCCGCATCCCTAGAACTTGCCTCCCGCAGAGTCTTCCCTCCGCGGCAGTTGTTACTGCTTGTATATGTATGTGTGGATGGGGTACTTGTGACTCTTTCTGCGCTTATTTCATTAGCTTCCTGGGTCTTACTAGCTCCCTCTAGGAGGGAGTGTTTTAACTCAGAGGAAATAGCCACACATCACCATGGGAGGTGTGTTTGGGGCTCGTGGTTTGCATGCATGGTCATTATTTGCATAGACGACCATGGAACTTGGGTCTGTTCCCCTCTGAGGCTGTGTGTCCCTTTGTGCTCCTGGGGCGTCAGTTGTTGGCCTTCTTGCGGGATGATGGAGGGTTCTAGCCACCAGGGGTTTAATTTCTCTTTGGGCCTGAGTCTAAGAACATGGTTGGAGGCCTGTTGTTTATGTTGCCAAGGCTGGGACCCTTTGTGTTCCTTCAGACACTTTAGGACAGTGGTTCTCCACCTTTCTAACATTGACCTTTAATACAGTTCCTCATATTGTGGTGACCACCCCCCCCCACACACACACCATCGCTCTAGATTGCTCTGCAGTCTGAAAACTGACCCCACCTGGTTGAGACCTTTTTGCTGAATGTGTGACCGTTTGGGTGGCTGAGTGGGTACTAAAGACCCTTAAGACAGCTGAGGGGCTAGAATGTCTCTGAGGATGACATCTGCTTCTGACACAGCCAGGCTTCTGTAGCCAGGCTACTTTTCTTGGGTGAAGGGTCCCCAGAATGATGCATGAGGATTTCGGACCCCATTCTCAACCCCCAACAATCTGTGACCCTCGGCCCGGGGGCAGGGAGGTGCCAGGAGAACATCTCTCTTGGTAAGGACCTGTATTCAGTAGCTCATTTGTGACCCACAATCTGGGCACCTATTTTGATGGCTGCTGTTTGGACTCCTGAGAGTTCCAGGGCTTGACCGAGGAAACCCCACATCATTGCAGGCATCTTCGAGATTGGACACAGCATCAAAAGCCCTGGGCTTTTCCCAGGGTCCCATGGACTTGTCTGGGGTGCTCTCTGGGTTTGCTATCCACCCTCAGAGGTTAGACAGGATGTTGGCTACCAACAGAGTCATGCTACCAGGGCTGGCTCAAGCACCCTGGTAGCCCATGTGACCTGGGCCAGCCTCAGCCTTTCCTTGGGCCTCAGGGTTCCCACCGATGGTATATTGAGGAGTCTGGAAAGCTGCCATCTTGTTCTTTGGGTACAGGTGATAGCTTTGATCTAGGGTAGGTCTGTCTGTTTATCCATCTGTCTGACTTCATTCCCTGCCTGCCTGCCTGCCTGCCATGATGGACTTGTGTAGTCTAGGCTAGCTTAGAACTGTGTAGCCCAGGCTGGTGTTAAACTTGAGGTAACCCCCCCTCAGTCTCCTTGACTAGTTGGTGGTGGGCTCACAGAAGTGAGCTGTGACAATGTGAGTTTAGGAATAGTTTTTCCATGCTGGAGACATGCTCGAGGGGTGGGTAGTGTGACGAGTTGTGTAAGAGTTTTGACTTGGAACTTTTCAGTCTCCCGCTCCTGGGACACGGACTGTCCATTCCCACTGGAATTGATTGCTCCTTCTCTGTGCTGTATGGGACTGTGCCTTTACCCCATGGGGCTCATTTGCCCAGCAGGGTCTTGGTCAGTTGAAAGGGACCAGTCTAGTCCTGGTCTGGCTAGGCTCTCCCATACTCCTTCCTAAGCACCCACCCACATACACCACCACTGCCACCCACCCAGAGCTGGGAGGGGACATCCGGCCCCAGATACTGTAGGCTCTGGCAGAAGGGACAGAAGGTCAGCGGAACAGGAGCTCCATTGTGGATGCCATCTCTGCAGCATTTGGGGTGGAGGCTGGTGCTGACCTGGATGGAGGGAGATGGGCCCAAAAGACCCAGGGGTGGGGACTCAGGGTCAGTTCAGCAAGGGTGGGGCTGATGATGATGCTTACAGCAGCCATATATACCCTGTGTTATGTGTGCCATCAACCCTGGCTCCAGCGTGTGTGTGTGTGTGTGTGTGTGTGTGTGTGTGTGTGTGTGTGTGTGTGTGTGTGGTGTTTCCCCTTCCTTGTGCTGCAGATTAAACACAGGACTTCTTCTGATAGGCAAAGATTTACCACCGAGCCACACCCCAGCCCCTCACTGGGGGATTCTAGGAAGGTGCTCTACCACTGAGCCACACCCCAGCCCCTCACTGGGGGATTCTAGGCAGGTGCTCTACCACTGAGCCACACCCCAGCCCCTCACTGGGGGATTCTAGGC